AAAAAAAAAAAAAAAAAAAAAAAAAAAAAAAACAGGTGCATGAGAGATCTTTGAAATCACTTCCAATTTACTGAATCAGTCCCAATTTTACAGTCACGTACTTCCCTCTAGGCTTTCCGTTAGACATTGAAATTTTTCTTCATTTTCCATCCTTAATTAAAGGCTTGTTGCAATTAGCGCACATCAGTCCCTCCCTGGTGTAAAAGCTGTACTCAAGTTAAACTCAAGTTAATCAACGCTTTTCCAGTGTTCAGCACAAGGCTGATCTAATAAAGAAGCTCATTTGCCATCATTTTGACTGCATTGTACTACACCGAGTCTTATATATAACAGTATATAAAAAAAATAGAAAATAAAAACACTTTTGCATGGTTTTTGTGTATAATGAAAGCTTACGAAAACACATCTTGCTTCGAGCGAAGATACACCGCATTACACAAAAAGGCAGCTGTTTTGTTTAAGTGTGGTCGTGCTTTTGTGAGGAAAGTTATGCTTCGCCTTTAAAGAGCTATTAACGAGCTCATTGAGACCTGGCTAACATGCTAGTTAATTACACGCCTTTTCTTGCAATGCACGGAGCGGAAAGGGTCACTTAGAAAAACTAAATATTGCAATAATATTGGCTTTGTAAAGAATGTTAAACCGATGAGGCTACGATCTAACAATCGTAGTTTCGAGGTCCGATCAAGTAAACTTCTAAAAGTCGTGCTTTCGAGATGGTGAATTTTAAAAGTTCTTTCATGGTTAATCAGGGTTTTCCTATTTTCTGTCTTTGAATTGAAGTCATCAGTTTTTGCCATCAAAGATTTACCGAATCACTGTTTGGCAGTTTAGGTAATAATTTAGTTCTGTAATGAAGTGTTATGATTAGTTGCGTAGAAAATTAGTCACGGGGTAGCTCGTATTAAAAACTATTTACAGCAAACTGCAATTTTCAACATCAAGTTATAGCTGATGAGTCGTACGTACAAACACCTGTCACTTTTTGGAACAAAATCTAGTGGTGTAAACACTTCATTTGCGCGGTACCGCCAAAAGATCTAAGAACCATCGAGTTGGCAGTTTCTACAATTTCATAAAATATTTAATAGGTTTCTCACCATCAGGCCCTCGAGCCCTCTATTTATAACTATTAGCCGCCTTTTTGGGAAAAGTCTTCTAATTATATTTCATTCTTTCTTTTCATCGGAATCTTTGAAAAAAGTCATTGTTCGTTCAGCAACGGAGAGAATAAACAGTTTTAGTTTCCTTCTCGATTCTTCAGACAAGTTTAACGCAAGGCTGCAATTAGAGTTATATGGAATAAATGTAAGATTGTGTAACTTCTTACAAATTTTTTACGTCGTTTATCAACCTTACCATAACTGCTTTTCAGAGCCCTAGAAAAGGATTCAGAAAATGAAGCGTCACCACCTTGAAGTGAACCAGTTCTTCGAGAACAGCTTTTCCACACCCAGAAGGCAAATTTGGATTTGAAATTAAAGGCATTGCCGCTAATTTGCCAAAAATTAAATGGCTTTCTATGGAAGGGGATTTCCAAAGAAAATAGGAAAAATAATAATAATGAAAAAATCTAAAACATAAAATAATCACGCAAGGCCCTTGGAAACTCAAAGCACACAATGAGAACCGCTGGTGAACTTGGTAAAGTTAACCGCCTCAGAGAAAAACAATTCGTGTTTTTCTTTCATACACTAACATCACGGTACGCCCTTTTAGTTAATGAAGCTAAGAATGTATGCTATAAATAGACCAACGCGTAGAAATCTCTCGCTAGTTTTTGATTAGAGAATTCCCTTTTGAAATCTCTCAGGGATCGATTAAACTTAGTTCTAAACGAAGCATCGAGCAGCGAATGCTTCATTTAAAACAATATATTTGGAAAGCTGGAGGTCAGGTCTTTTTCGTGACCCAATTTGACTCCAAGCAGCTCTCCGACAACACTCAGCGGTAACAAAAGCTTTTCAGCCCCAGGCCGGGGTTGCACTAGGGTGATGGTTTTTGGCTAAGACTCTACCGTTTCATCGGGAACAATGCGATTTCCACATGTGTGGCCAGAGATTGTTTTAAAATTTCCAAGCATACTATCACAAACCAACGTTATTTTGTTTATATATTTCCTTAACAAGAGCCAATCGCCGGAAAATTTTCTTATGAGTGCAAAAGATAATTTTTTGTAAAATTTCTTACAGGGGAAAAGTTAAGTTTTAAAAACAAACGGCAATTTTTTCTTCCCCGTTAAGTCCATGCTCCTCCAAAGTAAACGCCGAAAAAGTTGTCAGAATCCTGATATGTTCGGGATTGTTTAAATTCTTAACACGTGAACAGAATAGGCAAATAACTGCCGATTTTCGGTCAAGAACCTGTAGACTTTTGCGGTTTTTTGGGTCTGCACTTAGTAACACCGGCTACGTTTAATTAAGTTGGGGTATTTCTTTTGTGAACCAGAGAACGAACGTGGCCTCATAAATAAATTCAGATTTGCTTTGGTCCTGATTAAATTGAGTTATTTTGACGACAGCGCAGATTACTCCTTATGTTTGAAAAATACAAATTGCGAAATGTATTGAAATCTGAAGTCAACCCGACTTAACGGTTTTGTAGCCAGAGAATTGAGATGGGAATTATTTTATTGGATCAACCATCGACCTCTAATAAAGAGAGAAACTAATAAATTTCAACTAGAAATTGTCGGAAAAAAACTTGCATGAAATTAGTTTCGTTCATTTGCAAAACAAGCCAACTTAAATATGTTGTTGACGATTCAAACAAAATAACGCATCAAAAGGAAAAGTATAATTTAAAATTTCGGCTCGTGCATAGAAAACAAAAGAAGCTATAACCGGCCAGGTCTGATGTACTTGAGAGGTATCTCATTTGTTCTCAGTTCACATCAAACGAACCTTCGATCGGTCTTTCAGTCGCACCTTGGGACATTTCATTGTTTTTTGCTGTGAGTGACAGCTTGTCAAATATCCTCTCACGATCTCTTCTACCTTGACATCTCATGGGGTTCTCTTCCGAGAAGCACTGACATGGTTTCCTAGACAAAAGATAAAGAATCTTCAAGATCTTTTCGAGTCATGAAATAAGCAACTCTATAGCTTTTCATGGCTTGAATATGGTAATCTCACTGGGGAACATAATACCCTCTTATTTTTAAACACTCGTTTGGACTCAGGTGGCTAAGTTCTTTGATAATGTCAGCTAAAAGGCTTTCACGAAAAAAGGGCTTTAACAACGAACTGTTAATCCTGGTTTTTTTTCCTCGATTGAAATGTAACAGGCTGGATATTTTCCGTCGCAAATCAGCTTTACTTTTTCCTCTATAAACAAGTCGTTCAAAAGAGCGAGGGAACAAAAAGATGCGGTTTAAACCCATGTTACATGATGTTTCAATGTTTACTTTCAAATCCACGCGCTAAGCTAGCTTCAGCCACTAATTAAGTGCAAAAAATGACTGCTGGTCGGGCGCAGAATGATGAAAGATGACCGACAAATTCAAAAGTTTGGAAAATATCGCGAAAACAAAGGAATAAAAGTTGAATGCGGCCTGGGGGATAACTCGATGTGTCTTAGTAGAGTCCAAGGGAAATCTTCCTCAATTCATTATTTAGATGACCGCCGTTTGATAGATAATATAGCTAATAATGCGGCCGTATAAAGAAGTTTGACATTTGGGTGTCCTAAGGCTTGATTGACAGCTGCGGATTGATCGTTAAATTTCCTTCGCATTATTTCTCTGTTGAGGACAATAGCTAATTATGGTTAAATGAAGATAAAAGTGATTGCAGGAATATTAAAGCTATCCAGATATATTGGGCCGCCGTGTAGTGAATATCACATCCATCACCAAGTGAAGACGGGTAAAAAGTCTTATTTACGAATTGCTAGGGTGATTCTTCATTAACTGCTAACATGAGCCGAGAAGTACAATTCTGTTTTGCCATTCCGCGCTCCGAGGGATTTCCTCCAGTCAAACGCTCTTCCCCGATTCATTCGTTTGCTATTCACGACATCCTCGGTCTTAACGAGAAGAGCTCAAAACCGAAGGCGGCAAGTCAACAAAACGTGAGCCTTGTAAAATGCTTTTCGCCGGTTACGGCGCGACTCGAGACGCAGAACACAGACCACGAAAAGGTTTCTGTGCTACCAGGTTAGTGTCTGCCCCAGTTTCTGCTTCGTTATCCCAAGATCAGATTTCGTTTAACAACATTTTAAACACCCCTTCTACGGCTCTTTTAGTGAGCTGTTCCGCCGCGGTCTTCGGTGTCTTGATTGGAACAAATGATCGAGAGTAATAGTTTGTAATGCCCTAATTAACAACTGGTGTTCATTTCAAGCCTTATAGCAGACGGATTCATCAAACCGTCGATTTAATGAGGGGATTTCTTTCCGTTATCTTTTCCGGGCAGTTCCGTGAATTTGCGAGAAAACTTTCTTCTCAAAAGACTTCACAAAAAAATAAATTTGGTTTCCGGACGATAGATAGCACAAAACTAAGTTGGGGTTACTTCAAAATATTTGATTGCGTTTTAATGGCTTCCTAACTGAACGCAACAAACTCCGGGAAAAAAACAGCTGTCGCGCTTATGAAATAGTAGATTTTCACAAGAAATTTACCTGGGCTCGTATATTTCATTCCGCTATTTGTATTTTGTATTACTGTAAGCGTTTCTTGGTTTTCTGTCACAGCGCATAAATTTGTGGATAATAACTCTGTTTAGTTTCTATTAAAAATGAAAATGACAGATTTATTCCAGTAAGAGACTGCTAATTCGCAGAAATATCAACTTCTTTAAAGCGTCTAAATGGAACATTATTTCATCCTCAGAACACCATGGGACAGACGGTAGTAAAATTGACAAATGCCTATATCTGAAGGGAGACAAAACCGCGGCGAGCAAGAAGGCACCCAAAAAGCGTCGACATCGCACCATTTTCACAAATTACCAACTGGAAGAGTTGGAAAAGGCTTTCAAAGAAAGCCACTACCCTGATGTGTATGCGAGGGAAAATCTGTCTGTGAAGATCGAGTTACCAGAAGACCGAATCCAGGTATGATGAAAATTATTTCTTTAGTTATTTTAAATTTTTCCAAAACATTCCAACGACGAGCGAGGCAAAAAGAATCGCTAAGGAAGTCTTAGCCAGCCTTTAAATTTTTAATTAGTATATTTTTGTGATTTTTGATCACCTTCCTTCAGTGCATGGCTCAAAAAGAAGACATCTGCCGCAGCGGCGCGAAGTAATGTTTTCGTACCGACGATATGATGAGTGTCTTATGCAGATAGAACGCCATGGAAAAATGAAAATCAAACCGCAGAAGGAAAAAAACAACTCAATGTTGATTACAACGTAAACGATTCGCGGCGTGTAAATGCTTCGCCCATCTCACCGAATTTGTTTTGTTCGCCGCGATGGTGAAGGCTCCGGGAATAAAACTTAGTCCGCAATTGGCATTCATTAGTGTTCATTAAAGTTATGAACCCCTTTTAATTACCGTAATTATACGCCGACCTGATTTTAGAGCCGCAGGTGTTTCTGATATGACAACAAGCGAGGTTTTCAATGATTCTTCATTTTTTTTTTTTCTGAAATAATAATGGTGATAATAAACCAAGATCAGGACTCACGTCAGACAAGGGTTCCTAATCTTGAATACTATCTAAAATCCACACTTGAAGTAAATTAAAACCAAAAACTTTGAATTTTTTTCTGACCTTAAATCGAACAAAGGGTTCAACGAATGGTGCGAAAAAAAATAGTTGTTAGTATATTAGCTATTGTAAAAAATCGGCGGAAAACGGTCCCTAAATGTATGCTTTCCAAAACTGGAGGTAACCTTTATTCGACGGAAAAATACATCGGAAGTTGAACAGAAAATGGGGCAAGCCGGAGCGCTATAATAAAAATTTTAATTGCATGCCATTTTTTCTTTCAACTTTGTCGCCTTTTTGTTGAGCGGATTCACTTTTTTCTTGGAATTTGAAATTTTACATATTTGGTGGTCGTTAATTGCTTTCTAAATTATAATTCAACGACCTTTTCGGTATAGCCATCAAGTTGATTTAGCGCTCTTAAATTTTTATTATTGGGTAAATATAGCATATTATACGAATATATGGCGGCGGAAATACACTGCGATAACATGCCATACAGCGTAATAAAAACTAACAGGAAACATATACAGTTCTAATGAAGTTTGCACGAGGGTGAAAACCAACTTGTCTATATTTCATTCTCAAAGTTGACACGAATCAATACCAAAGTTTGCAAAAGAGTCTTTTCATCTGTCACGGTTTGCAAGTTAAAGTGTATTAGGCTAATGTAAGAATTTGACTTAAGAAAACATCCTTTAACAGCATTTCCTAAAAGAGCCATTTTGCTGGCGGGTTTACGTATAATTTGGAGCCAAATAGCCTTTCCAATTATATACTTGCAATGTCTCACAAGCACGTTTGTGTTGGGAAGTTTTTGTTTTTCGTTATCATTACATCGAGAATTAAATGAATGAAAATTTGACAAGCCCGTTTCTTACAAGTAGTGTTGTAATTACTTTTTAACAGAATCCTCAAATGCTGCCGGAAAACCCCCACATTTCAATAAGCCTTGACAAACAATGATTAGCGAGTTAGGTTTCGTCTCGAATTCTCCTTTTTATCAGTCTCTCGACTTTCCTCGTTCTTTGAATGAGCACTGATCTACGTGCATGATAACAGGTTTTCTCTGTGTTTTCTTTCATTACCAAAGATGGCAAAGTTTCGTGCAAAAGACAAATTTGTGTTGCGTAACAGCAAAAGAACGCTTCCACTTCTCTGCCACTGAGAAAAACAAGTTTAATTCGCTTCGACAGCGCTTGTAATTGTTACTTATGATGGGATTCAAACTGTGTTTTCCCGCTGAGATAGTTTAAGGTCGTTGTTTCAGTCAGGATTAATAGCTCTATTCAGCTGTCTTGGCAAGCGAATTAGTAATCTTACACTGACCGTGCTAGCGATTGATCTGTGTATTGCGATATCAGCTGAATCATTTTTACAAGCACGGATGAAACGAGAGTGTTTTCATCACCAAAGAACTCCCGGCGCGGGAGCGACTGAAAAATAGTAAAAAATGTTGCATTTGACCACTTCAACCTCGGCGGGTTTTGATCCCCTTCACGAAAGGAAAACGGTAGACTTAGGGCTTAAGTTTATCACTCTGTAAAAACTAAGACTGAATTGAAGAAGTCCATGAACTTTTCGCTGCCAAACAAAGCGGTCGATTCGTGCCAATGCTGGAGTTCGCTAAACAAAAACAGTATCAGTGCACGTTCGAAATACATTCTTTATAATCAAAAGTGCCCATTTTCATACATTTCTAGGACTGAAGACAGCCTTTTAATCGAGAGCCGTGTGCACGCATACTGTTGTCTCTATACTGTAAATTCGTTACTCGTTTTACACAAGGAAATCTCCATTAAGGTTCGATTTTGTTTCATCTAAACACAGCGTCCCTGTTTTAATTACCGTCGACCAAAAGAGTAAATAACTCGATGTTGTTTCGAGTTTTCTAGCTAATCATTAAAAACCTTCAGTGATATCTCTGATTTATAAGCAAGCCAATTTTCGCATGCTTGAGCCATAGGCTTTCTCTTTTAGCCAAGATACAATCAAAGAAGCTGCGAAGCGGCGCCATTGTTTATAATATGCTTTTTCCCAAATTGCCAAAACAGACAATTTAATAAGAAAACGGCTTAATTTCTTTTTGAGAAATTGATGAAACATTCTAGGAAACCTAAAGAAAGAAAGAAACACAGAGTGAACTTAAAACAGCGTGCACTCCAAAACTTGCTTTCAAGTACGTGTGTTTGATGGATAAAATTTCACTCTCCGGAAAACACCACGCTAAGCTGGATGAAGCCCTTAGGTCATATCTGAGATGTTTTAATATTTTGTTTGTTATTTTACTCTGTGTCTTTGCCTATAGGCTCTTTTGTAAAGCTAATTTAAACAAGGCGGCGGTGGCTGCATCTCATAGAAGAAATTCTGAGGTTCTCTTGACTGCACGTAAAACTAACTGGCTTTATATCCGACCAAAAAGCTGCTTCAATTTGTGAAAACATAGAAAAAAAATGAAAACTATGAAAGAAAACTTCCTCTTAATCATTCAAGATCTTATAACTTGAAATATAGCAGCGAACCGTGTCGTGGTCAAATTAGACCATCGACCGCAGCAAAACCACCTACTTGATTTTCCTAAACGATAGACGCGTGAACCTGTCGTAAATTTTGTACATGTTATTTATCCGCAGGATGTTCCTTTTGGTTCAAAATTGAATGGCAAAATGGACGGAAAGCGAACTACTTTAAACAAGGCAGTAGTTAAGGAAAGCTGTCATTGTTACAACAAAAAGTATAATCAAAATTAGCGAAGTCGTTTTCGTGCGTACCAGTCATAACTTCCGCCATCTTGGAGACTTGCGACTTTAAACTTCTCGGCTACACACACAAGCATTTTAAGTCATTTATTCATTCCGTAGAACTTATGCTTTTGCTGAATATAACATTTATCAATCAGTGCTAATAAAAAACATCATTACGGCAAACTATAATTAGGCTTAAAAGAAGTTTCCAAATTGCCTCGGTATAACAGAAAAGACAACAAAGTAACATTGGTAAAGATTGTAAGTCAGCAGTTGACGTTAACGCAGTGGGCAGAAGATAGAAGAAACCCTCTTGAAAAATAGGAAGATTCATCAGCAATAAAGACTTTTATTCGGCTTTGCATATTTAATTTTTTTATTTTTTAAGAATGAAAAACTGCACGCCGACTTTCGTTAGTTGTAATTATTCCAGCAAATCACCTGCTTTTTTCGACTAAAACTGTTTACTGAAACTACCTCAAGTCAGTTTATAAACTACCCATTTATGTCTGTTCGGAACGGTTCGCGAGCGCTTCTTGTAGCTATAGTTCGAAAAGTAAAAGACGCAAACTGAGATAACGCCGCAAAACGAAAATTGTTTATGTTAGTAAATTTGTCGTTGAACTGTGTCAGGGCCTGTTTCAAATTAACAAGACAGTCAAAACGAATTAGGAAGCCTCGTAAATATTGCTCCAGGCGATGTAGAGTAGTAATAAATATAGTTTATATGCGGTAGAATTAATAGACTTGACATCATTTGAATCATAGTAAAGAAATAACTGTTGTTCAGCATTTGACACAAAATTTCAGGATAAAAATACCACCTGAGAAACAAGTCAGGAAGACTACAAATTAAGATGCGAATGAAAATAAAAAATGCAGAAGAAACTCCAACAGAAAAAGGTTTCATCTATTCCAAATTAAGTTTTGAAAGCGGAATGATGAATTTGAATTAAAAGTTTTGCCTCTCAATGAAAAATGCCCTGAATCTCAAAAAATTAATCACTTCCTGAATATGTTCGATAAAATTCCACAATTTCAAAAAAGTTATTAAAACGATAATTCTCTCAACTATGAAGACTTCGTAATGTATGTTTGAACACAACAAGCAGAACAACTAAACGGAATTATTTTATAGTTGAACGCTTACCGACTGCTTTTACTGTTCAAAAATGCCTGATTAGTTTATGACAAAAGTATTCGCTTCTTTTAGCGATAATTTATCATTTAAATCGCGGTCTTTTGTCCATCGAATTCCGCAAAAAAAAAAACAAAACAAAAAAAAAAAAAAAAAAAAAAAAAAGCACAAGGTGAGCTAACGAGGAAAAGAAGCATTTTGGAAATTTTTCTTATCAGTGTCTTCTCTATATTTTATTCGCGCCGTGGTGGCCGACAGGTTAATATAAACTACTTTGGCCTTTTTTATGGAAAGGAGAAAAACAAAAGTAAAAAAGAGGACTTATATTAATCACAAAGCTGGGAAAACCATTTTCCGTTCTTTTGTCAGAAATCCTTACCAATTCAAACCCTTTAAGTTAAAGCGTGTAGTTGTGTTTCTTGTTTTCACAGGTTTCCGTGTTTGCATGCCGAGCGCCGAAAAAGTGAATTTTAACGGAAAAGTTTCCGCAGTCTAAAATAGGAAAGGCTATTCGTCTATGATGAGTCTAACAATCATTAACAAACCAATAACATTTAGGAATGTATAGATGGTAGCAATTCCAAATAGTCCTTTTCACGTTTAATCCAAATTCTAACCCTGACCATTAGGTCTTTGCGAACTGGCGATAAATCTAAATAACTGTTATTAATGCATGGAGCGCAGTGTAGTCCTCAAATTAACCAATTTTTCACTAAAAAGTAAAAAGTAAAAAAAAAAAATAATAATAAAGCAATGTCATAATCATTGATAGAAATAATTTTCTTGTCCGTTAATTTCTTGTTTTTATTTTGGTTGATTCATTATTTTCTGTGAGAATTAACAGTTAAGCCTCGCCCACTGTTGTAAGGATATAAAAAATACCTCATAGTCATCATTATTTCGAGAGGAATATAAACAAAAATCAGATAAAAATTCTCCGTTCCTTTTTAACATTCTAGAAATGTGAAAACCTGAAACTATGATGACGCTGTTTTTTACAGCCTAAATTACAATTGCTTTGAGGTTGGTTGTTTTGGCGGTCTTGTTGCAAACACAAAAGAACAAATTACGAAAATTCCCATTAATACAACACTAGCAAGGATAAACAAAACAATATTACTATTGAAAAGCGGGTCTTCATTGTATGAACTTACTCATCAGGCAATCTAGATCTATAAAGATCATTACGATTAATTTTCGAACAAAACTTGCCCAAAAATAAGGTTTTGATAGCTATATAAACTAACTTTTAACGACCTCACGCATACTCAACAAAAACACTAATTCGCGCAATAATCAAGCGGTCTACAATGGTTCATTGGTCATAAAAGTAACATGAACAGCGCTCGCAATGCAGAGATTAATTGAAGCAGCGAGCAAACATTGAGTTATTTTTAATAATGTAAAATTCCTGGGTTGCGCACTTCCAGCATATTATGAGTAAAATGAACAGATTTCCGCTTCGATAAATCGAGTCTGGGAGTACGTAAAATTGACAGGAATTATCGAATTGGGAAATTAATAACTGGAAAGCTTATCCCGGCAACCTTATCGCTGTCCACTAGCTTCAAGTTCAAAGCAAAGACTTCCTCGAATAGACAACAAAGATGTTGGGTTTATTCGTTCATTCTTGGCTTAAATTTTCGGATTTGTCTTAAATCTTTTGTCAGCTGTTTGTTTACAACTGATGCTTGAAGAGGCTCTGCTTACCTTTTTAAAATTCACCGCGAATAATAAAAATTTTTAATATTCAAATAAAAGGGAGCCTGTTTTTCCACTTGATGTTATTTTGTTTGAAATTATGAATTTCAATTTCTTCAGTTACTACGATGACTAAAAACGTTATCAGAGATATGCATTTATGTGTTACTGAACGCTATATACTTCGGCTTTGTTTAAAATTTGTATCGACTGCAAACTGAACTAGAGTTGAATGAGTAATATTCTACGACTTTTTTTAGTTACATTGTGCTTTTCAAACATCATTAAAAAAAGACAAACCGACATCTTTGATCAGGGGAGGAATTAAAATGACTGTACTGATCAGGTTTACTCTTAATTCTTAAATGAGTCATGAGTGAAGTTTCAATTGAGTATGGAAAGTAATTCAGGAATATATTTCTTTTGTTTTACTCTGTCTGCAGAAAACTTGCGCCTCCTTCCAAAGTGTTTTTTCGCTTTTGAAGTTGGTTACTTCTATTCGGCTCCTCGCTGTACTTATAGGACGAACACTCCTTCTTTAAAGTGCCTTTTGCTTTACCCCCTTTATTCAAAGATCTATGCGAGCAGGAACCAATCGGAGTAACTCTTCTGTTTACTTCGTCAGGTCTGGTTTCAAAATCGACGAGCAAAATGGCGAAAGAAGGAAAAGTGTTGGGGTCACAGTTCTATAATGGCTGAGTACGGGTTGTATGGAGCAATGGTACGACATTCCTTACCCCTCCCCCCTCATCTGACGTCCAACTCAGCTCCATGGTTGCTTGGCATGCATAAGAAAGCAAAGCTCATGGAAGATAAAATTAAGGTAGAGACTTCGAAAGAGACTGGGGATGACCTCAGGTCGCACAGTATTGCGTCGCTGAGGCAGCGAGCCCAAGAACACAATGCAGCTGTCAAACATTTACAAGAACAGGAAGCCAGGATGATACAGGCGTATAAAAGTAACGAGGCAAAGGAAAAGAAGCTTTCTGACAGTGGATCCGACGGAGAAACTGATTTGGAAGATATGTGATTAGAAATAAGGAAATAACTGTCCTAAAATATAATATTAGAATAGTAGAGTAAGGTGTCGACCGTTTTTTTTTGAGCATTTTTCGATTGAGCGTCATGAAATCAGTATCAAAGCAATCTTAACAGCCAATCATAGCAAGGAAAATTGATATCACCAGGAGGAAATGAGAAAAAGCAAACTGCCTGAAGTGCGGAAAAACTGCCTGAAGTGCGGGAAAACTGCCTGAAGTGCGGGAAAACTGCCTGAAACGCGGGAAAACACGGGTGACAAAGTCGCAATTGGTTTTAGTTTTGAATCTGATTGGTCGAGGAAGTGGCGCGAGTTTTCTCGACCAATTACTGCAAACAAAGCAAGACCAAAGAAATCCCGGATTTCTTTCGACATTCTTTCGAAAATTGCTCTATCAAGGCATTCAAGACTATGCACGATTTAACAAAATGGCGGGAAAATTGGGAAGAATGCAAGCGTTTTTAGTGCCAACACTGACACCCATGAACCAAAAGCAGAAAAAATAATACGACGGACGCAAAAGCTGGGTTCCACAAAATCTCAGCATTTGACTCGTGAAACACAATGCATTTAATTTATTGCCCACTGGAAGGGGTTCAGTAACATTAAAATTTACGAGTATTGATAATTTGCGCACAGTGAGAAAATCATCATTACTCCGTGCAAAATATATAGAATATTCATGCTTCTAAAAGCCCGCTTCAAATCAAAAATGAGCTGATAAAAATTTTTATCTTGTACATAGTCACAGTACAGACTTCCACTTAGGTTGTCAAAACTTATATAAGTCACTTCGGAAAGAGTTCCACATAACCCCATACATTAATTATGCATTCATTTCATAACTACTAAATATGAAGGTTTCTTTGCAACAGTCTATGCATAATTAATGTATGGGGTTATATGGAACTCTTGCCGTCGTTTCTACCGTCAACAGTCCTTACCAGGACTACTCTCACCCGAACGATGAGGTCACAAGATAACTATATTATAGAGGGTGTAATTTGCAAATGTAGACCAGCCTTTCTACAGAGAAATGCTGCATCGGAACTCTATGGTAAACAGTTTAAAAAATAAAAGCTCAGAGATGTTTGAGACGAGGACGGCGAACAAAGGACGAATGCATCTGCATTTGGTAAGGACTTGCTGGAGAGCCCTTTGTTATCACTATTATTATTATTATTATTATTATTATTATTATTTGTTATCACTATTATTTCAAAACTTAAAACTGCACAGAAAAATTCGGAGAATACTCATATTTAAGTGCCGAACGCGTCTCAGAAACTTCTACAGTCTTTATCAGATATTTGTAATTAAAACAATTCAACGTCATTGTGTTGGTTTAATTTGAAATCCCTTCTAAGGACACAACTAAAAGACAATGAAGAACGCGGTTAAGATCGAAACTCAGGCAGGTCCATACATAGGAGCTCTGTTGAGACACCAACCTGACCTTAGCTCGTTGGCAACCAATCAGACACATCAGTAAATCTAATCGAGAGTTTGTGGCGTCTTTGCTCGCACTTGAATTCGGTTTACATGTTGCAAGCCTGCACCCTAGCTGAAAAAAAAAGGCTCATTGTGGAAGCTTGGGCAACCTGTGGCCTTTAAGGATGGACTGTCAACGTTTCGTTGCATGCACGTGGTGACCGTTGAAGTGTTGTTACTGATTTGAAAGCTACTAGTATCATTCTCGTGGTACATGCGTACTGTCAGCTTGAACTGACCGAGGCTCGGTGCCATCATTTCTATTTCTTGTCGAGCTTCAGGTCTCACTGTGTTGATCTACACAGATTCCTCGCAAATGCTTCGGCTTCTTGGAAACCTTTTTGCGATAGCAATTCAGTGAATGCGACTATAAATTGTTTCTTTCGAGATGTGTATATAATCGGGTTGACAGTAGAATGCAATGCGACCAACCCGAACACAAAATGACGAAGTGTATTTTCTCGCTGTCCGAAAACTTTTCTCCGTACAGAAACCACGTGACGGACATAGGACCAATAGGGAAAATAACAAATAGCAAAATCGTCACTATCATTAAAGTAGCTGACTTTAGGCTTTCTTTTCTTTTTTGAATCTGGCTTTGGCCTCCTCAGAAACTTGAAGGGCAAGGATCCGCTTTTCATGGCGTCTAGCTTCCTTATAAACGAGGACCTGAAGACAGATGATTGAACTCAACAATGCTAATGTGAAAACTGCGACTGGGATCACAATTCCACTGGACATAGAAAAGTAAACAAGACTACCTGGGATCCAGGCACCAGCCGATAAAACTATAACTCGCGATTTAGGCAGCATTTCGTCGTGTGTGAAAGAGTATTTGATCATGATTGTGAGGTATCGTTCTCCGCTGATCAAAACTCTCTCGTGACAGCTGTCATTGAAAGCTGCACTTCTTTGGAGGATTGCCGGGAGATCATAGCTAAATATTGCAAATAGTCTGACATTATGTTTATTTACTTGTAGTGACTGACACCTCTATCACTAAACGTTGTCAATCTAACTTTTCTGCACTGCCTTTACCTTTATGGCACCTAATATCTAATTTCTTGAGTCATTGTATATATTTCCTTATTGCTTAATGATAATATTATGTACATTTTTTGTACTCACTGGAAAATAATACTTGAATTCGTTATTAGTTAAGTCAACTTGCTTGACGTACACTTAACGATTATTAACGGTAATTTTATATTTGTTTATTTATCTATTTTTAATTAATAAATTAAATTATTTGTATGTCAAAGTGCGTAAAAAATCCGTGTTCTATATGCAAATTTCGAGTTCATAATAACCACAAAGCTATCTTTTGCAATATTTTTCACCCAAGGACACATCTGAAATGTACCCCACTTTCTCTTTCAGAATATAAAGCTTTGACGTATTCTCTTTATGACTGGTATTGTCTTTGCTGCCTCTCTCATACGTTTCCTTTTAATCATTATGATAGTGATACTGATTTCTCATTTTGCCTTGTTTGATCTTCAATCTTCTGGCAATTTTGACAGCTCCCTTTTGGGAGCTAAATATTTTAATCTGTTCTTGGAAGACCCTGATACTTGTCAAATTCTTCTCAACTCTGACCTTGATCTAGACATCAATATGCTCTCATCAACTTCTAACTTACTCTGGATGTACTTATATGAATAGTAGCCAGTTCAATAATCTGTTCTCTGACTCCTCTAAATCTAACTGCTTCTCATTATTTCACTTCAATATACGCAGCTTTAAAAAACATTTTGTTGACCTAGAGGAATATCATCTCTCTACCCTAAATACATCTTTCTCTGCCATTGGTCTCTCTGAAACATGGCTAGACACCACTTCTAATGACTTGTATGGTATCCCTGGTTACCATTACATTTCTAAACCTCGATCTTCTGGATCAGGAGGTGGTATTGTTATATTCCTATGTGATACTTATGAATTCAAGAGAAGGTGTGACCTTGAATCTACGAATTGTGTCCTTGAATCTGTTTTTAATTGAAATTGTCCAACCAAATCATGAAAAAAAAATGTGATTTTGGGCTGTTTATACAAACCCCCTAACATTCAAACTGAAATCTTTAATGATGAAATTAAACAAGTTCTTGCTAAAAATTGGATTTGAGAATAAATTATGTTTCATTTTTGGTGACTTTAACATCAATATTCTTAATGCTGATTCACATATCCCTACTAACGATTTCATTGATCTCATTCATTCCAATGGTTTCTATCCTTTTATCTCTAAACCTACAAGGATCACATCTCATTCAGCTACCCTGATCGAGTAACATCTTCACAATAAAAAAATTAGTGGTATCCTTTGGTCCGACATATCTGATCCCTTACCTATATTACAGATTACTAATTGTTCCCTTAAACCTAAAACTAAATCTTCAGTTTATCATAAACGTCTTATAACTGCTCATAACATTGAAAATTTTCGCTCCCACCTTTGTTGTATTAATTGGGATTTCTCACAATCTTCCTCTTCAAATGCAATCTACAATTCTTTTATGGACTGTCTTTATCCAATCGATAAAACGTGCTTTCCTGTTAAGATCATCACTGTTAAAGAAAATTCAAAAGCCAAACCTTGGTTACCTCAGGGGTCCAAAACTCCTGTCGTAGGAAGTATGCTCTCTATGAACAGTATTGTAATCATCCTACAACTGCTAGCAAAGCTATATATACCAAATTACACGGTAACAGATACATAATAATTTTTTACCGCGGAATTTGGTATATATATAATACAAATATATAGTGCGCTGGACTGTTGTGCGGGAGGTCGAGGGTTCGAGACCCGGCCGGACCAACACTCAAGGTCTTAAAATAATTGAGAAGAATTTGCTACCTTTCTATAACATCAAGAAATGGTTAGATATTCTAGTCTTCTCGGATAGGGACGAATAAATGGAGGTCCCGTCTCCTTTAGGGTTGGAAGCAGGAGACGTTAATTTCCCACGCATGAGATTACTATGTGATGGATGTCCTCCCCTGGGGTAAGATGGGTGGGTTTACCGGGCCCGCAATAATTGGTGCAAGCTGTTGCGGTGTCCCTGCCGGTCGGTGAAGCTAAATAAATAAATCAATAAATCAATAAATCAAAACCTGCTGATATGAAGGACAACAGAGGTAACACTATCAACAACCATCAGTTAATTGCTGATAAGTTTAATGAATTCTTTATCAATATTGGTCCTTCTCTTGCAACTAAAATTACCCACTCGACTGTTGACCACAAATCATATTTGAGTGGTTCCTTTAGTGATAGTTTCTTTGCCTCACCTACCACCCCTGATGAAATTATCACCATAGTGTCCTCTCTGAAGAGTGGTAACATGGAGGGAGTGGATGGTATTAATGTTAATGTGATTAAGGCATCTATTGATCTCTTAGCATCTCCCCTCTCTCAAATGTGCAATATTATCTCCTTTTCGACTGGCATTGAGCCTGATAAGCTTAAAATCAGCAAATTGATTCCCATATACAAAAGTGAATATAACACTAACTTTACTAATCTTACCTTGCTTCTCTAAAATTCTTGAGAGTGCCATGTATCGTCGTCTGATCGACTATCTCACTAAACATAGCATACTCAATAATCATCAGTAGGGGTTTAGAAAGAATCATTCTACTTTTATGGCAATACTGGAACTTACTAATAAAATATTTGATTCATTTGACAAGAACGAATTCACAAAGTGGCATATCCATTGATCTAAAGAAGGCATTTGATACTGTTAATGACTCCATCCTCTTAGATAAGTTAAATTTCTATGGTATTCGAGGCACACTTTCAACTGGATGCATAGTTATCTCTTCTCTCGCTCACAATATGTTCAAATTGATTCCTGGAAATCTCCACTGCTTCCAATTAAATGTGGTGTTCCTCAGGGTTCTGTGTTAGGGCCACTTTTATTTCTTATATACATTAAAGACATCTTTTCATGCTGTGATAATCTCTCATTCATCCTCAGTTTTTACAGACGACACTAATATTTTCTTTCAACACAAAAATATCTCTGAACGAACTAAAATTGTGAACCATGAACTTTCTTTTGTGGCTGCCTGGTTTAAAGCTAACAAGTTAACTTTGCATCCTGATAAGACTAAATTTATTTTGTTTCACCCTGCAAGAAAGAAAATAAGTCTTGATTGTCTTTCTATTAACAGTGATAAGAATAGTATTAATAGAGTGGAATCTGAATACACAAAATTCCTAGGTGTTCATGATCATCCATCAAAACCTTTCATGGCAGGCTTATATAAAAGCCATTTCTTCCAAAATTGCCAAATCCACTGGGATTATTCTCAAATCTCGACAGTTTTTCCTTTCTAACACTCTTTGCATATTATACAATTCTTTAGTGTTCCCATATCTTCAATACTGTTCTATTATTTGGGCTTCCACTTACTCTTCGCATTTACAACCCCTCTTTCGTCTCCAGAAGAAAGCTTTAAGAATCATTACTCATTCTCCACCACGTGCACATACTTACTCACTCTTTAACAAATTCAAAATACTCAACATATTTAATATTTATAAGTACCAAGTTCCTTGCTTTGTTTTCCTTCACATGCAGAAGCTCTTGCCCAGTCTCCTCTTTCATCTCTTTTTGTTCTTAACTCTCACTGTCATCAATATCTCACTAGGCAAAAAGATAACTGACATCTTCATACTCACAAATATTCTTTCTCTCTTCGAGTACAGAGTCCTCAAATTTGGGATGACATTCCTCTCTCACTTCGTAATTCACTTACTCTATCTAGTTATAAACGTAAACTGAGAGATCTCACTAGGCAAAAAGATAACTGACTTCTTCATACTCACAAATATT